GGCAGCACCAAGGACTCCACACATAACAACATAGTTTTACTACTCATGCTTCCGTCTTTTAAGTGAAAGATTAGCCCATTTTTGTTACCAGGAAACCTAGCATCGTATAAAAAAAAATGCAAATGACTTTAAAGTTTGATTAAATAAGCTTCAAATTATTCCTATTCTACTTTTAGAACCGCAGTTGAGGGACTAAATAACATTTGCATGGAATACTTTTAAACGTGGGCTTCCAACTTAAAGCGTCCGTTTGCGGAGTCTAAAATCGGAAGTCTTCCGCCCTCTAGTGGAAGAAGTTTCATCGGTCTGTAATTTGTAACGATACTACAGGTGAAGCTAGCATTTTCAATTAAATAAGTATATACCCCACAACAGCATTTAAAAACTTCCTTTGGAATATACCAGTTTAAAACAATATGTTTAAAAAGAGCATTAATTGAAATAGCTTAATTTTAGGGAGGTATAATCCAATTTGCTCTTACTCAGCGTTGAAATCTACTCCTATATATATATATTCGCATATTTGAAAGAAAAGTCAGAGTTTTACATTTAGTCTCTGCTTTTTAAGACTTACCTTTTGAATGTATCAAAAACACCAGAATCATCAAAGTTTATGGCTTCAGGGTGTCCACGAGGTAGACAGATGTCGCCAACGTGCATTTCGCAACATGGAATGCCATGCTGGACCACAGTCAAACTTGGATAAAAAGAAGACCAACCTGAACAAAATAGAAATGATTAAGAGAGATGCTACATGGCCTTCAGATCCAGAAATGTCCAAAACTAGCTTAGCCAAAAGGGAAGGAAGCAGCGGTGAAATGAGTTCGACCCGGCCTTGGAAATGGGAAAACGACGAACGGTTAATGGAAGAGAAATGTATTTATTTATTATTTATTTATAACCCATCTTTAATATTTGTAGAAATAATTCAAGGAGGCAAACATGTCCAGCACACCTTCCTCTTTCTTATTTTCCCCACAACAACAACCTTGTGAGGTGGGTTGGCCCAAGATCCGCCCACTGGTTTTCGCGGCTACGGCGGCACTTGAACTCAACGGTCTCCACTTTCCAATCTGCTATTTTAAGCCACTAGAAATGACCATTTTTTCCCCGAGAAACTGTGTGTAAAGCTGAAGAAAGAAACTCCAAAGTAATGATTTGATCTGGTGTCCGTTGGCTCGGGAAAAAAAAAAACCTCCGGGCAGACTTCCCAAATTCAGTTAATTCTAGGCCACGAAAACAAAGATTCAACTTAACAATGGTGTGATTAACTTGAGAATTGCACTGATTGATTTAACGGTTGCTGGAATTGGGTATGTCTAGTTTAATGAAGAGAAGGGCGAGGGGGGACGTGATAGCAGTCTTCCAGTATCTCAGGGGCTGCCCCAAAGAAGAGGGAGTCAAGCTATTCTCCAAAGCGCCTGAAGGCAGGATAAGTAGCAATGGATGGAAACTAACCAAAGAGAGAAGCAACCTGGAACTAAGGAGAAACTTCCTGACAGTTAGAACAATTAACCAGTGGAACTGCTTGCCTCCAGAAGCGGTGAATGCTCCAACACTGGAAGTTTTTAAGAAGAGACTGGACAGCCACTTGTCCGAAATGGTATAGGGTTTCCTGCCTGAGCAGGGGGTTGGACTGGATGACCTCCTAGGTCCCTTCGAACTTTATTATTATTATTATTATTATTATTATTATTATTATTATTATTATTAAACTACTGTGACAAGAAAAATCATAAATTGGGGCAAAATTCACTTAACAACTGTCTCGCTTAGCGACAGAAATTTCGGCCTCAATTGGGATGGTAATTCAAGGACTACCTGTATAGGAATGTTCTTTTTTTTTTTTTCTCCCCATCCATCGTGGATGAAAAACCGGAACATTTTCTTACCTTTATTTTTAACATAGAAGGGGTGAGCTAGTCTGCACTCCACAGTGAGTAAATCCTCGGCTGCTGTGCCCGGGTCAAAAGTCAACTTGAGCACTGACTCGCCAAACGAAATGCTCTCTTCGTGCGAGATCAGCTTCAATCCATCAGCGGCGTAGCCCTGCGGAAACACAACCGTTAGCCGAGAGCCGCGTCGCAGAACCTCTCTCCCATCTGAGCCACTTCCTTGTTTCTAGGAAATTAAAGGCTTCAATCATTAGGATGTTTTTAAGGCAGTGTTTCTCAACCTTGACAATTTTAAGGCACGTGGACTTCAACTCCCAGAATTCCACAGCCACCAATGAGAAACACTGTTTTAAGGTGACTGCACTGCTTGCTGTATCAACCACGAGTTGCTACAAACTACACTGAGTACAAATGAATCAGCACTTTAGGAAACAGACATATATATCAGTGGAGGTTGTGAGTGGATGCAGGATCTCTAGGGCTGGTATCAGTGAAATGGAAGGAAAGAACACAGTGGAGGTTGTGAGTGGATGCAGGATCCCTAGGACTGGACTTCACCGAAGGGAAAGTGGGGGTAGTCACGATAAACATCAAAGGGGTGGAGATGGAATGGCCCCCAAGGATTGTGAAAGGGTGAATCAGCCCAAGGACGGGAGGCGCGTTCCAGCCTGGGAAAGCAGAGGACGCCCACCTGAGATATGGACACAAAAAAGGGGGGAGGAGGGTGGCAACACACATGGAGGTAAAGGAGGTAAGGAAGAATTAACTCAGTTTGCAGATGAGGCCAGGATTGGCCGGCCGGGACCTGTCACGAGATCTAGGAGCCGTGCGCGGACATGACTGTTATTTATAAGCAAGCTCTCCCAGTATCCTGATTATACCCTGACGATGATGGCAGTTTTAGGCCATCGAAAGTACAGCCATGTGATTGACTGCTCATCTGCTGGTGCTGGGGAAATTGCGACACTCCGGGGTGAGTAAGCAAGCAGCAATCTCCCTATCATGTCACAATGCTATTCTCAGTCATTTCTCTGTGATGGGAGTTACTTCACTGCATTTAGTGGATCTGCATAAATGCTTTCTCCCTTTGCATACATGCTTCCCGGTTGCAGGAATTGGGTTTGGCCAGTCTAGAGGAAAGAAGGACTAGGGGGGACATGATAGCGGTGTTCCGGTATTTGAGGGGCTGCCGCAAAGAAGAGGAGGGGGGTCAACTTATTTTCCACAGCTCCAGAAGGCAAGACAAGAAACGATGGATGGAAATTAATCAAGGAGAGAAGCAACTTGGAATTAAGGAGAAATTTCCTAATAGGGAGGACAATTAACCAGAAGTCACCAGAAGTCGTGGGTGCTTCATCACTGGAAGTTTTTAAGAAGAGACTGGACAGCCACTTGTCACAAATGGTATGGGGTCTCCTGCTTGAGCAGGGGGTTGGACTAGAAGACCTCCAAGGTCCCTTCCAGCAATATTCTGATCGATTTTCCTCTCTTATAAATTGCAATAAGAAAAAAAAAAACCTCAGAACTTACTTTATAAGCACCCACTGAATCATCAGCTTCTTTTCTGCAGCTGGCCAATCCAGCAAAATCTTCAACATCTATCCATTCTTTATTGCGTCCTTTGTGGAAGCATAAACGCGTTCCTAATTATTTTTTTTTTAGAAAAAAAGAAAATAATTCAGTGTAATTGTAAAGATAAACCTGAGTATTAAAACCCAGTCATATAACGGGAGTGTATTTTACCTTTAAGGAAACAGTGCCAAACAGTTGGAGGCCAAGAGTGGCACCATCCCAGATCATCATCGTCTGACAATGATGACATACAGAAAATGCCAGACTCTGATTCACTGTTTGTCTGTTGAAAAAAAATAAAACCAGTTTGCACGTATAGATTTCTGTTGTCTGTGTCTGTTCACACAAATGGTTGATTCAAGGGACTCAGCAAACTTTCTGGAGTTGTTTTTTAACTTAACCATTTCCGTGCCTTTCCTGCGTATTCCTAAATTCTATATATTTTTTAATTATGCTTGGTAGCCCTCCTACATTCCTTATCTAAGCACGTAGCATAATAATTCCTAGTCCTATCAATGTATTTTCTTTGTTTTCTTTTTGTTTTATTGTTCTTATTATTTTTTACTTTTGCTGTGTTTAAACATCCTTTTTATTTATTTAGTAGCCCTATGTGAGATAGGTGCCAAATGATAATTATTGTTGTTATTATTATTAACAATAACAATAATTATTTGGTACCTATCTCACCATAGGGCTACTAAATAAATAAATTAACTATAATCATAATAATAGTAATAATGATGATGTTGGTTGATTTTTTTCTCTTTAAAATCTAATCCTTTGAGGTATATTTCACCCCAATGAACAAGCAGTTGGAAGTGGAATATGAATCCAATAAATAGAAATGTATCTTTCCATCCTCTTACGATTAACTTCAGACCGCAGTCCGACAAGCCTACTATGATTAATCTGACATGACAAAGCCAGGGACCCTTCCAATGACAGCTCATGCTTTCCAGTAAGTCCCAGTATGTTTTGCTTGGCCTAGCATCAAGTGACAAGCTGTGTGTTGATTGAGGACCTGGGAAATGAATGAGGCAATCTTCCATCTGCTTTGTTGTTTTGTTCTGTGCAACATCTCTGCTTTTTGTCTCTGGAGATTCTCCGTCATCCACGTCATGCTTGTCCCAAAGGTACTTTTTTTTTTTTTTTTCAAAAGGCCACTGGACTTTCTTGGTTTTTCTTTGAAGATGTTTTGCTCCCCATAGTTGACCCCAATCCAAGTTTAAAGGGGGGCTTGCCAGACATGACTTTTGCTAATTGGTTTCTAATTCATCGGAGTTGTCCATTACAACACGAGATCTATTCCCTATAGGTGCTAAATAAATAAAGCTGTGAAGGAGTAACATACAAAGTCATGCTTTATAAGGGTTCTTTTTTTTTAAAAAAAATATATGTTTCTGATCTTCAGCAACTTCAACACACAGAATTTACCCTTTCGTGTCTGATTGGCGTTTCTTCCACGTGATGCTTGGGAAAAACTGTCTCGCTCGGAGAGGATTCTGGCGGCGGGCGTGCATAGGAATGTAAACTTTTGCTTGTAGCTAGTAAGTGAACGGGAGATGATCTAAGAAAGGATGATAAAACAATGCGTAAACGGTTGCTGATCAAGGAAGGAAAGAAGATAAACAAAGAACAACAGGTTAGCAATTCTGTCACACTGTGAAAACTCCTTTGGTTATTCCTTGAACATTGTAACCCACACCGGTGGTTCTGAAACGAGTTAATTCCGAGTATCCAGGCTTATTTCTGAGCAACAGAAAATTTCTATAGAGGGTTACTTTTATCCGCAAATATTTGCTCAAATTTTAAATCGTTATTACCGTTTCTTTCCATACGGTTTCAAAAAAGACAAGAACCTGGCAGAGCAAAATAGCTAATTATTCCATTAATTCATGAAAATTACTTCTCTACTAAGCATCCCATCATGGAATCCTTGGTGTTCTCTGAGCTTCGTTGTTTCCTTGCAGGCACTTCCGTTGCCCAACTAATTAACCTCCAGTAGCAACAAGTGCAGAAGATGTTATAACTTAACCTGGTCCGGTGACGAAGCGTCTGCAAGAAAACAGCCAAGCTCAAAGAACACCGAGGACTCCACAGCTGGAGATATAGTCTTCTCCTGGAACACCCCATTATCCCACAGTGCTGGGCTGCATTAACAGAGGGATAGAATCAAGATCACGTGAGGTGTTAATACCACTTTACAAGGCCTTGGTAAGGCCACACTTGGAATACTGCATCCAGTTTTGGTCACCAGGATGTAAAAAAGATGTTGAGACTCTAGAAAGAGTGCAGAGAAGAGCAACAAAGATGATCAGGGGACTGGAGGCTAAAGCATATAAGGAACAGTTGCTGGAATTGGGTATGTCTCGTTTAATGAAGAGAAGGACGAGGAGGGACATGATAGCAGTCTTCCAATATCTCAGGGGCTGCCCCAAAGAAGAGGGAGTCAAGCTATTCTCCAAAGCGCCTGAAGGCAGGACAAGAAGCAACGGATGGAAACTCATCAAGGAGAGAAGCAACCTAGAACTAAGGAGAAACTTCCTGACAGAACAATTAACCAGTGGAACAACCTGCCTCCAGAAGTGGTGAATGCGCCAACACTGGAAGTTTTTAAGAAGAGACTGGACAGTCATTTGTCCGACATAGTGTAGGGTTTCCTGCCTGAGCAGGGGGTTGGACTAGATGACCTCCAATAATAATAATAATAATAATAATAATTCTTCTTCTTCTTCTTCTTCTTCTTCTTCTTCTTCTTATTATTATTATTATTATTATTATTATTATTATTATTATTATTATTATTATTATTATTATCTCGAGACCAAATATTTTAATCAACGCTGCTATTTACAGAGAAGAGTTGGCGCTCCTTTTAGGAAAAGCTAGCTACGTATCGCTACGTTCCCAGAAAATAATGAACAGATCCATCTCATCAATGAGGTACTTTTAGTTCAGCAAAGAACAGCGAGAACAGATTGCAGAATTGTTTCTCTAGTTTGCTCGTGGGGTTTTTTTTTACGTTTTTTTTTTTTGCACCGGTTTGATAAAAGAATCCTGGAGGGATTTCAAAGCATGCATACATGCAGTCACGACAGAAGCCTAGGACTGAAAATCAGGCTTGTCAGATGCTATGTTTTTCCTATCCTGCTCTGTGGAGTAGAGAGTTGGTCTCTGACAGAAGGCCACCTGAAGAGACTAGAAGCATTTGAAATGTGGATTTACAGATGGCGGCTGTTACGTAGAAGCTGGGTTGACAAGATCAGAAATGAGGAGGGGATAAGCCGCCTGGGAAAGCCGAGGGAAATCATCAAAACAATTAAAAAAATGAAAGTTAGAATATTTCGGACATGTGATGCGCCACCCAGAAAAAATACGGCATACTCCGTTTAATCCTCCAGGGAAAGATTGAAGACAAACAAGATCCAGGCAGAAGAAGAAGATCATGGCTTCAAAATCTAAGGGACTGGTTTGGACAAAACTCAGCAGCACTTTTTCGTGCGGCTGCTAATAAAAACAGGATCGCCAACATGATCGCCAACGTCCGATAACGGATATGGCACAAGAAGAAGATACTTATTTATGTGTGGCTTTAGGTGCACTTTTTTTGGGATCTTACTTTCTCTCAAACCAGGACGGCAATCTTTAGTTTTTCATATGTGGATCCCCCGTTCTGAGAGTTATAATTTGATAACGCATTATACAATTTCCTTCTTTTAATGCTTTCACAGCTGATTTAGTGATTCCGTTGCACTAAATCATGTATTTTCAGCAAGTTAAGTAAGAATATTATTTTGAAAAAGGAAAGCTGTTCATCCAGTTGCCGGGCTACCAGCGCCTTCGTTCTAGTGCCCTTTGAGTGACAGCAGAAAAAGGTTTCTAAGATATACCGATTTGATTGACTGTCTTACCCGTCATGCACTACTGCAGAGAGAGGGAGGGCCCTGCAAGATCTCAGTAGTTATCAGCTCTGCAAGTTAGATGTGTGGACTCAAGTACCCCTGTCATTGTGTTTATAGTGTGATTAGAAACAGGGCAGCTCCAGAATTACGTACAGGTATTCTATATCCTCAACTTACAACCACAATTGAGCCCAAAATTTCTCTTGCTAAGCGAGGTAGGTAAGCAAGGTGAATTTTGCCCTGTTTTGCGACCAGTTGTTAAGTGAATCACCGCAGTTGTTAAGTTAGTAACACGGTGGTTAAGTGAATCTGGCTTCCCCCGTTGATTTTGCTTGTCAGAAGGTCCCAAAAGGGGGTCACGTGACACACACCCCGCGACACGGCGACCGTTATAAACATGAGCCAGTTGCCAAGCAGCCGAATCCCACGGGGACGCAAGTGTGAAAAACGGTTATAAGTCCCTGTTTTCAGTGTCGCTGCACCTTCCAACGGTCCCTAAATGAACGGTTGTAAGACGAGGACTCCCTCTATCTGCGTAATGGCACTCCGTTACACTCCATTACACTCGGCACACTAAATCAAAGTCAGAATACCAGTGATGTACGAATCTCCAACTGGAATGAAGAAAATAATAAAACCGCCAGCTCCGCCCTCGCAGATACCTACATGCCTACGTAATACTCTCCACCTTTTAATGCAGTGGTTCTCAACCTTTTTAATGCCGTCACCCCAACCGGTCGTAAGTCGAGGACTAAACTGGTCGTAAGTCGAGGACTAAACCGGTCGTAAGTCGAGGACTAAACCGGTCGTAAGTCGAGGACTTTCCCTGCCCGGGAGTGCCGCGCATGCGTGGTTCCGCCCCCTGCGCCTGCCGAGGTGTAGCTGGCAAGCGGCAGAGACGGAGCAGGCCGACCACCAGCTGGCCCAGCCCAAGGGAGGTAAGGCACCCGCCGGAAAAGGGGAAAAAATAGTGGGCAAAAAAAATGGTGGACAAAAAAAATGGCGGACAGCCTTGCTTGGCAACCCCCGTGAAATGGCCGATCGACCCCAAATGGGGTCCCGACCCACAGGTTGAGAACCACTGTTTTAATGCAAAACAGGTCTAGCCGATCGTAGAGAACAACGGTAACAATAATACCCCGTACGTGTTATAAAACGAGCACTGCATGAGAGGACTCTGCGGGCTAGTGGCTATGTTTGCCAGCTCCGTCAGCCAGTTCACTCCGTCCTCCCGCGGGGAAGCGCTTTCTGGGCTGCTGCCTGAGGTGTGCTGGTTCCAAGAAGGCCTTGTGTATTCCTGATGTGAGACATTAGCGCTCAGCTGGAAGAGGGCGTGTGGGGTAGAGTCGCTGTGAACCGCCTGCAATTCAGGAAGATCATCTGCCAATGGAAACAAGACAGGGTCAAATCCATTCCTACAAACAGCCATGGCATTTAGGCTTATGTACCTGACAGCGAGAACAATTAACCAGTGGGAGGACTTGCCTCCAGAGGTTGTGGGTGCTCCAACTCTGGAGGTTTTCAAGAAGAGACTGGACAACCGTTGGTCTCAAATGGCGTAGGGTATTCTGCTTGAGCAGGGGGCTGGACTAGAAGACCTCCAAGGTCCCTTTCAACCCTGTTATTCTGTGCTTTGCAGCCCTCTCTAAGCAGTTTACAGAGTCAGCCTATTTGCCCCCAACAATCTGGGTCCTCATTTGACCAACCCGGGAAGGCTGGAAGGCTGAGTCAGCTCTGAGCCCCATCAGGATCAAACTCCAACCTGCGGGCAGAGTTTGCCTGCAATTTTGCACTTTAACCGCTGTGCCACTTAATCAAACTAGCCCAACGTAAGAATAAGATCCACCTCCTTCCTTAACCCTAGAAAAAAATATTGTCTAGGGTTAGGTCTTTTGAATGACTATGCTAACCTATTACTCAATTTCAGAAAAAGATTGGGGTGTCTTGTCCAGAAACCCAANCTTCTTCTTCTTCTTCTTCTTCTTCTTCTTCTTCTTCTTCCTCCTCCTCCTCCTCCTCCTCCTCCTCCTCCTCCTCCTCCTCCTCCTCCTCATTATTATTATTATTATTATTACTATTATTATTACTATTATTATTATTATTATTATTATTATTATTATTATTATTATTATCTCGAGACCAAATATTTTAGTCAACGCTGCTATTTACAGAAGAGCGTTGGCGCTCCTTTTAGGAAAAGCTAGCTACGTATCGCTTCTAGGTTCCCAGAAAATAATGAACAGATCCATCTCATCAATGAGGTACTTTTAGTTCAGCAAAGAACAGCGAGAACAGATTGCAGAATTGTTTCTCTAGTTTGCTCGTGGGTTTTTTTTTTACGTTTTTTTTTTTTGCACCGGTTTGATAAAAGAATCCTGGAGGGATTTCAAAGCATGCATACATGCAGTCACGACAGAAGCCTAAGGCTGAAAATCAGGCTTGTCAGATGCTATGTTTCTCCTATCCTGCTCTATGGAGCAGAGAGTTGGTCTCTGACAGAAGGCCACCTGAAGAGACTAGAAGCATCTGAAATGTGGATTTACAGATGGCGGCTGTTACGTAGAAGCTGGGTTGACAAGATCAGAAATGAGGAGGGGATCAGCCGCCTGGGAAAGCCGAGGGAAATCATCAAAACAATTAAAAAACGAAAGTTAGAATATTTCAGACAGGTGATGCGACACCCAGAAAAAATACAGCCTACTCCATTTAATTCTCCAGGGAAAGATGGAAGGCCAACGAGGTCCAGGCAGAAGAAGAACATCGTGGCTTCAAAATCTAAAGAACTGGTTTGGACAAAACTCAGCAGCACTTTTTCGTGCGGCTGCTGATAAAAACAGGATCGCCAACATGATCGCCAACGTCCGATAACGGATATGGCACAAGAAGAAGAAGATACTATTTATGTGTGGCTTTAGGTGCACTTTTTTTGGATCTTATTTTCTCTCAAACCAGGACGGCAATCTTTAGTTTTTCATATGTGGATCCCCCGTTCTGAGAGTTATAATTTGATGACGTGTTATACAATTTCCTTCTTTTAATGCTTTCACAGCCGATTTAGGGGTTCCGTTGCACTAAATCATGTATTTTCAGCAAGTTAAGTAAGAATATTTTTTTGAAAAAGGAAAGCTATTCATCCAGTTGCCGGGCTACTAGCGCCTAGTGCCCTTTGAGTGACAGCAGAAAAAGGTTTCTAAGATATACCGACTTGATTGACTACTGCAGAGAGAGGAAGGGTCCTGCAAGTAAGTTCTCAGTAGCCCTCAGTAGTTATCAGCTCTGCAAGTTAGATGTGTGGACTCAAGTACCCCTGTCATTGTGTTTATAGTGTGATTAGAAACAGGGCAGCTCCAGAATTACGTACAGGTATTCTATGTCCTCACCTTACAGCCACAATTGAGCCCAAAACTTCTGTTGCTAAGCGAGGTAGGTAAGCAAGGTGAATTTTGCCCCGTTTTGCGACCTCTCTTGCCACAGTTGTTAAGGGAATCACCGCAGTTGTTAAAGTTAGTAACATGGTGGTTAAGTGAATCTGGCTTCCCCCATTGATTTTGCTTGTCAGAAGGTCCCAAAAGGGGGGTCACATGACCCCCCCGGGGCACGGCGACCGTTGTAAACATGAGCCAGTTGCCAAGCGGCCGAATCCCACGGGGATGCAAGTGTGAAAAACGGTTATAAGTCCCTGTTTTCAGTGTCGCTGCACCTTCCAACGGTCCCTAAATGAACGGTTGTAAGACGAGGACTCCCTCTATCTGCGTAATGGCACTCCGTTACACTCCATTACACTCTGCACACTAAATCAAAGTCAGAATACCAGTGACGTACGAATCTCCAACTGGAATGAAGAAAATAAAGCCGCCACCTCCGCCCTCGCAGACCTACATGCCTACGTAATACTCTCCACCTTTTAATGCAAAACAGGTCTAGCCGATCGTAGAGAACAACGGTAACAATAATACCCCGTACGTGTTATAAAACGAGCACTGCATGAGAGGACTCTGTGGGCTAGTGGCTATGTTTGCCAGCTCCGTCAGCCAGTTCACTCCGTCCTCGCGCGGGGAAGCGCTTTCTGGGCTGCTGCCTGAGGTGTGCTGGTTCCAAGAAGGCCTTGTGTATTCCTGATGTGAGACATTAGCGCTCAGCTGGAAGAGGGCGTGTGGGGTAGAGTCGCTGTGAACCGCCTGCAATTCAGGAAGGTCATCTGCCAATGGAAACAAGACAGGGTCAAATCCATTCCTACAAACAGCCACGGCATTTAGGCTTATGTACCTGACAGCGAGAACAATTAACCAGTGGGAGGACTTGACTCCAGAGGTTGTGGGTGCTCCAACTCTGGAGGTTTTCAAGAAGAGACTGGACAACCGTCGGTCTCAAATGGTGTAGGGTATTCTGCTTGAGCAGGGGGTTGGACTAGAAGACCTCCAAGGTCCCTTTCAACCCTGTTATTCTGTGCTTTGCAGCCCTCTCTAAGCAGTTTACAGAGTCAGCCTATTTGCCCCCAACAATCTGGGTCCTCATTTGACCAACCCGGGAAGGATGGAAGACTGAGTCAGCTCTGAGCCCCATCAGGATCAAACTCCAGCCTGCGGGCAGAGTTTGCCTGCAATTTTGCACTTTAACCGCTGTGCCACTTAATCAAACTAGCCCAACGTAAGAATAAGATCCACCTCCTTCCTTAACCCTAGAAAAAAATATTGTCTAGGGTTAGGTCTTTTGAATGACTATGCTAACCTATTACTCAATTTCAGAAAAAGATTGGGGTGTCTTGTCCAGAAACCCAAACTCTCTTTCTTCTTACATAAGGCCAGTGTAAAGGAAGGGATCGACATATAAATTCAAGACAATCTGGACTGTATTCTAAAATAGAAGAATCCAAAGTAAGCTACTTGGGAGAAAGAAAAGCTGGGAAGAAAGAAGGGCGGTGTAAACCTTTCGGAGAAATATAACAGCAGAGGCTAAATATTTCACATTCAGTTAACAGCATACAACAGATATTTCATGTTTACCTCGGACTTGAGAATTAAAAAGAACAATTTTTATTCTTAGTTTCCCTCCTTCATGAAAACTGCCTAAAATTCTCAAGTAAACAGCTTCTCGTTTGAATTTACAACGCTAAACAGCTAAAAACAAAATTTTGCACGCTACCTCAATGTCACAAAGCAGCCCATCTCTCTTTGTTTAGACAAGTTGTCTCAACTGAGTCAAAGTGAGACTTGATAGGGAAGGGTTTTTTAAAAAAGAAAATTAAATTAATTGGAGTGTTTTGGCCTGCTAATCTCTGGAGTTTTGATGATCCAGTTTGAATAATCTGATTGGAATATTTCATTGCGTGACGTGTCACGTCGTGTCCTCCAGCATTTTCAAAAGTCATGTGAAGATGCCACAAAAGCAGAAAATTACAGAAGATGTGGAAAATAGCCACAAAATGTGATAATAGTCAGGCTCCAGTGTACCTATTTTAATTGCCTGAAGTATTTTAGTTGTCAATAATGAGTTTGGAACGAAAGGTTGAGGTGACCTATAATTTAGCTGAAAAAAATAGATATTTTTTTGTCTGGGCTATTAATATAGCACCAAACCACTCAGGCAGTTTTTTTTAACATAGTCACATTATCAGAATATGATATAATTTTGTCCACTTCAGGAACTATAGGGATGAAACTATGGTTGATTTTTCAATTGCCCGTTCCCACCTATCCTGAGTGAAAGAAGCTGTCATACAATGTTTGGATGAGATTGCAAACTAAAAATAAGCTACTGAAACTAATTCAAATATGGTTAATTCAGTTAGAGGGGGGCTTTAATCTGAGTGTGCCCATTGGTGTTTTTTTTTTAAAGAGGACTAGGAAATTAGATCTCTGAAACTAAAACATTGGTGCAGGTTTTCTCTTTCAAAAAGAGACTTTTGAAAGCCAAAGTGAAATTTGGCGCTGGATTCCACAGTGCAAAAAAATAAATAAATCACTTAGTACAAAGATCTCCAAACTTGGCAACTTTTAAGCCTTGTGGACTACAACTCCCAGAATCCCTCAGCCAGCCAGGCTGGGAGTTGAAGTTCCACAAGTCTTAAAAGTTGCCAAGTTCGGAAACGCCTTGCTTAGAATGTGTAGGGAAAGGTAATGTTTAACTTTTAATTTATGAAACTCGGAAACCATGAAAATTATGAACACGTGAAGACGTCACGTCTTCTTCATATGGATCTCAAGCCCTTGGAACTTTGTGAACTTTTGCATCCAGATTTCTTGACAGGACTGCAAAACTGGTTTGCTGCCGTTCGTTTCCGGGAAGTTATTCTGTTTGTTTTTATTAATCCCTGGTTCTTTTCCACCAAGCTTCGGCCAGGACAATGATCTTGATTATAAAACTATGATGGCTCTAGCCATCATCTTAAACTCGATATATTTTTTATCTCTGGACTAGGAATACAAAATGGGAGGTCTCCGGGGTATGCAAGGACTTCGGTTCACGAGCGGCCCGGGGGGGGGCGGGCGGGATGGGGGTCTGTCAGGCCCCCCATTTCCCAAACTTCCAACAACCTCGGTGCTGCGTTCTCTACCTGCTCTTTCCCACGTATTAATCCTCCAGATTGCCTTTCCATTCCATATGATTCAGTTCTTCTATCTTCTCTGCTTTCTCTGTAGTACTGTGGGGTCTGGAGGTATCACTGCTTCAGGCAGGAAGCCGGTGCAGAGAGTGGTGAGGACGGCAGAAAAAAATTAGTGGGAGTTCACTCCTATCCACTCCCTGGCAGATATACGCGGTGCTTGAACAGGGTCCGCAGGATTGTCTGGGACGCTAAGACATTTTCGCGACCCGTTTTCCTCGTTCCCTTCTGGGAGGAGGGGGCTTCGTGGTATCCGAAGCGGAACCTCCAGATTCAGTCACGGCTTTTGTTCACTGGGAAGGAAGGTCGTAAAATGGGGCAAAACTCACTTTACAAAGGTCTCACTTAACAACAGAAATCTTGGGCTCAGTTGTGGTTGTCGGACGAGGGCTACCTGTGTCGGTTTTTAAAGGAGCTGTCCTTTCAAACGCAAGAATCTTGAACGGGGGCTTACCGAGTTCCATATGTTCGTCAGAAGATGCGTATCCAGGAGAAGACGGAATATTCTCGTTACATTTCAGCAGGTCCAGCGCCTCGTTCATTCCTCGTTCGTTCATTCTCTTGTCCACCACCAGCAGGACTTTCTGCACCGTACTAGGCATCTGGTTTGTCTTCACTTCCCAAACCATTGTCGGGTGCTTCAAATTATCTGACTGAAGCAAAAAGTATTCACAGAGTTAGCTGAAGTATTCAGCAACAATTCACCCCGACCTATTTGCCATTTTAAGAACTCTGAGGGGGAAAAAAAAAATGCAAGGCTAAGCAGCAATGGAAACTCTGGGATGAAAAAAAAAAATCTGGGAAAGGCCACAGCTGGCGATGATTTCAACATAAACATACAGCAATGTTGTGTTGTACGTCACTTTTAAGTCTTTTTTTTTTTCCTCTAGAAAAGTTACGGGCAACCGGTGGGAGCAACAATAAAAATGGATTTGCGCAGTATTTTAATTGAGGACCGATGGCCTCTTGTGAGGCTAATAATAAACAAGTAATAGTTAATTCTTATTCTATCGGTAAGATTTATTATAAAGTCACACAGCAAAAAAACCAAACAAACAAATCTGGTCCACATTCAAGGAAGTAAAGTGACCTTTTGGAAAATTTGTCTTCATAAGATTCTTGATTTGTTATAGCACACTGTACATTAGTGCAGGCATGTCAAATGTATAAAATGGCGGGAAAGAGACTTAAAGCATTATTGCACTCCTTCCTCTAGAAAGTATGCCAGCTGAGACATTCATTTAATTATTTTTCCTATACTTCGTATTTTGTGTTTTTAATCATTTACTTTAACAGTTTAGTTTAGTTTGGAAATCCTAAAACATTCAATGCACCCCATGATAAAGACAATAACCAGAAACATCACGTATGGGAAGATGGGACAATATAAAATAAACAGAATATTTTCAAAGAGGTGACACTTTGCTAAACCTGCTATGTAAAATGCTCTGTTTCCCACTGTTTAGAAGCCAAATATATGACTGTTACATAAGCAAGTCCCAGGTGATTTTAAGCAGCTGCAAGTACTGTAGTAAACTTTTAATTCAAGTAAAAATGGCCAGATTCTTTAATAACATCACACAGACATGTAAACCAAAGTACTGCAGTATCCTAAGCTGCCATGCATGGTTTGCTTATGGCCTATGAACTTATCAGAGTCTGCCATATGCCCAAAGTTCCAAGCAACTTAATAATTAGCAAAGCATGCTAGAAAAGCAATATACAGATACATGCTGATGTATCTAAAAACAAATCATTTCTCACAGGTGATCTATCCCCAAATTTATTCAATAGAATAAACAACAGACCATCTCATCCAAGGGAGGCACCAGTCTGACAATCCAAGGTGACAATTTACTAGCTCCAGATTAGGTATGCTTCTTTTCCAAATGAGATTCAAATGAATGATTTGTATTAACGTCGATGTCTTTAATACTTAAGATCCTCGGCACATCTATTTACAAATAAACAAACAGCTTTCCTAAAGTTTGACCTACAAACATTTAACAGTGCATTAAAAAAAAATACAGAAAGAGAATCCACATTCTGTCTCTACAGCTACTTTTTGACTACATTTTGCTCTTCTGATTTTATTTTTATGGTAACTGAGTGGCATTCTTGTCAAGCGCTGAATGGCCACTGATATTCTTTGAACTAATTATCTTTTACTTATGCTCCTCTTCCCAGTTTGGTGCATTTTAACTTTGTATTCTTGTAAGACCTTTGTTTTTACATCTGCTGGCTTTTGGGAAAGGGAGAATGAGTTATTAACATGGGACTGCATCCAAACATCATTCTCATGTTAGGCCATTCTTCTCTGAGTCATCCTCAATTTCTGATCACTTTTTTTTAGATTTTTATCCTGCTTTTTTTTTCATATACAGCTCAACACAGCAAACATACCAATACTTCTTCTTCTTCCTATTTTACCCATAACAAAAACCCCAACGAGTTGAATTGGGCAGAGAGTGGCTGGCCCAAAGTCATCCAGCCAGTTTTTCATGCCTAAGGCAGGACTAGAACTCACAGTCTCCTAGTTTGTAGGCCAACATCTTAACCACTACTGTACACCAAACTGGCTCTTCATAAGACTTCACAGAAATATCCACGTACAGTAATCTTCTTGAGAGCAGTATGAAGTGGCTTTCTTTTCTTTTTTTAAAAAAAATCTTTCTCTAGCCTACAGCCTTGGCGTGCCCTGTGGTCTTCCATCCAGAGTCTTCACAATGCTTTGTTTTTGCAGCTAGCCAGGTATTAACCACTTGCTCAAAGGTATCTCTCAAAATTGCCATCATGCAAATTTTGCATCTATCCAAAGTCAAGCATCCCAAATATTTCTCCTGCAGACTCTGGGGTGGGGCAACATTATGCCTTGGTTCTTGACATTTCATTCCCTGGTAATGGCTTTTTATTCATTTTAATATACTGTGTGTCACCCAGACTCTCTTGAATGACCGAGGCAACTGATAAATGGAGGGTCTTTGGCGCTGAGCTTGGTGGTTTTCTTGTAGGCATTTCATTACCCAACTAGTTAACATCATCAGTGTACAATGGAGTAAGGTTTGATGTTATTTTTATATATAGTAGCTTGACTATCAGCGCTGGTGGGAGCATACTTGGTAGTTCCTTGTTTAGGCTGTTGTTTACTGTTAGCTTGTTTGGGTTGGTAGTTCCTTGATTGGGGTATTGTTTACTTCTTGATTGTTGGTCTGGTGTTCATTTTGGTTTTACCCTCTGCTCATAGGGCTGTTGATTGCTAGTGAGGAGGTAATGAAAATCAAAAAGGGTGAAGAAATAATTGCTACCTTAAGCCAGCAATTCTTCAAGATTCTGATGACAGAGTTGGAACGTTCCTGTCTTTGAATCCAACTCCCCACTCTGTATCATTTCAGACAAATGGCTGTCCAATCTCTTCTGAAAAACCTCCAGTGATGGAGCACCCACAGCTTCTGGAGGCCACTCTTTCCGCTGACTGATTGTTCTGTCAGGAATATGTCAATGAAGACTCAAATCATATCCAGGCAGTATATTAACTGTCAGGAAATTTCTCCTTTCATCCCAGGTTGCTTCTCTCCTTGATTAGTTTCCATCCGTTGCTTCTCGTCCTGCCCTCAGGTGGCTTTGGAGAATAGCTTGACTCCCTCTTCTTTGGGGCAGCCCCTTTGTGACATAATGTATGTCTTTAAAAGCAAAACTTATTCATCCTGGTCACTTGCTACAGATTCAGAAATAAGGTTGGGGGGGGAGGCGAGCAACACCCCCAGAGGGAAAAGAGGGAGGGGCAGGCCCCCTCGCCCCAATGCTGCAGAGCAGCTGTTAGGCCAGGGATCTTCCAACTTGGCCCTTTTATGACTTGTGGACTTCAACTCCCAGAATTCCTCAGCCAGGCAAGCTGGCTGAGGAATTCTGGGAGTTGAAGTCCACAAGTCATAAAAGGGCCAAGTTTGAAGGCCCCTCCCAGAATTCCTCAGCCAGGCAAGCTGGCTGAGGAATTCTGGGAGTTGAAGTCCACAAGTCATAAAAGGGCCAAGTTGGAAGACCCCTGGGTTAGGCTCCCACCGCAGCAGAACCAGAGCACTTCCGCATTCAGCGCTCAAAGGGTGGGCGGGGCGAGAAAAAGACCCCGCCCCGCACGCAAGAAGCGCGCCGCCTCTGGCGTCAGGCGCGCGGAGGGGAGGGGGGGGTGAAGGAAAAGGACCGTTGAGGGGAGATCACGCGCCGCGGGCGGAGGAGCCGCTCGGCGCTGATTGGTCCGCTTTTGAGCCGAGGGGGCGGAAACGCTGTCAGAGCCGCTCTCCCTCCCCTCCCCCCCCGCCCGCTCTTTCCAGTCACGTGCCCGACGCCTGGCAGAGGCCCTTGTTTATAAACTTTTTCCTCCCGGGGGGGGGAGGAAAGGCGCATGCGCCGAAAGGCCCCATTCATTCAGAAGTGCGTAACAGCAGCAGGAGAAAGGCGGTGGGGGAGGGGCTCTCGTCCCCGACCTCGGGGGGTGCCCCCCCTCGGCCAAAGGGCTCCTGAGGGGGCTCAAAGGGGCCGGAAAATTGAGGGGGGGGGGAAAGGTTGGGAAGAGGGAGAGCCAAGTTAAGTACGCCTCACAACTGGGGGGGGGGGTCCGTGAGGTAAATGGCGCCGTGTTGTGCTCTGTTTTGAAGAGCGACTCCGAAAACGCCCCGGTCGCGCCAGGAATCCCGGAGCCTTTTCGTCCCCCTTTCATTTTCTCCCCCGTCTCAACAACTTGAAGAATGGCCCGAACTTCCCTTCCTTCCTTCCTTCCTTCCTTCCTCGGCCGCGTCTAGCCCTGAGCGGCAGCCCCACGGAACGGAAGTCGGCCGTTTCCCGCTCACCCCCAACTTCCCCCCGTCTCAAAACACTTCAAAAGTTCTGAGCTACTCACCAACCCCGTCGCCATTACAGGACTCCCTACAGCTTTTTTTTTTTTTTTCTTTTTTTCCTTCCTTCCCTCCTCCCTCCCGTTCGTTCTCGCTGGAAAGCGCCACCCCTTTTCCATCGGGCTCGCCCTCTGAATGGCTGGCGTGGACGTCCATCCCGGGCTTCTTTCCGCTCATTGGAGGAGGGCGTCGCCCGTCAGACGCCAGCTGAAGAAAACAGACTTGTTTTGATGTCTTCCGCGCCGCCGATTGGCTGCGGCGAAGCCTGTCAAGCTGAACCAGGCGTAATAAATGGACGCTGGCCCCGCCTCCCCCAGCCGAAGAGGGTTATGGGCGTTGTTGTTTTCTGCTGTCTCGTTGGAACGCCCGATACCGAGCTCAGGAACAACAATTCCCAGAAAGCTCTCGGTCATTAGTAAACAAGATGCTTAGGGACACGTGTATCTGTGTCTCCAAGTAGCTGGGGCCCTGGAGGGATTCCTAAAGTGGGGAATGGACGTTTTCTTCCCAAGCTGAGGAACGGTCTCTTTTAATTTTTGCACAGCAATGCTGGGAAAACGTGGAGTTGGGGAAAAAAGCACGGAAAATTGCAGAATGAACCACGCAGTCTTTGTAGAGCACTGGAAAAATTCAGGGCACCAGATGTTAGAATCCTATACAAGTAGTCCTCGACTTACGACCCACAGTGAAGTCCAAAATTTCCATTGCTAAGCAAGGCAGTTGTTGAGTTTTGCCCTATCTACTATCTTCTGCCACAGTTGTTAAGCGAATCGTGCAGTCGTTAAGCGAATCTTGCTGCCCCCGTTGATTTTGCTGGTCAGAAGCTGGCTGCCAACCATCATAAATACGTGCCAGTTGCCAAAGTCACTTGATCCCATGACTGTGGGGATGCTGCAGCAGTGGTTAAATGTGAGAAGCGGGTCATAAGTCGCTTTTTTCAGTGCTACTGCAACTTCAAAGGGTCACTAAACAAATGGTTGTAAGTCAAGGATTATCTGTATAAGCCTTAGGACATGTGTACTTGAATTGATTTGTGGGATGTCTCTCTCTCTCACACACACACACACACACACACACACACACACACACACACACACACACACACCCCGAGAAAGAAATATTTGGGGGAATATTAAAAGGCAGAATATTCTATTTCCCCAAAGTCACTGAACTATTAAAGTCAAAACATAATGGAGAGAGAAAGGGCACATTATGCCCAATGCAGCTTCATTTATTTTTGGAGCAATGAACTTTAAAGAGCCTATACTAGATTCTTACGCGTTAGAAGGAAGTTGGAAAGGAATGGTCCAGGATGTTTGAATGTTACTTAAACCCATCTAAACAAAAGCACATCAAAACTTATTGCTTGTTGGCACAGAGTGGTACATTATTCATATATGAATTGTGCTTGACCATAAAAATAAATAAATTCCTAACTTGTGTTGGATGGCTTAAATAAAATAGGACCAAGAAGATTTTATCTGGCTTATGTTATGTCTGTAATGTTTATGTCTGTACAGTGACAAGCAGCGTCACATAGCCCTGATTCCATCTCAAAAGGATGTGACCATGGGAAAAAATCTAGAAAATGGCAAAACAAAATGATCAAGGCCTTTTCAGGCCTTCAGGATTCATGAGCTGTTTTAACTCTGAACCGTCACTAAAGGAACTGACTAGCTTTCAGGCCCAAAACTGAGAATGACATGTGATTTTTCCAAGCTGGGCTTTTTATTGCTTTCATACTTATAAACAATAATCTTGCCAGACTGACTCTACTATCTCTGAACTCTTAGGGAGAAGATCTCTTCACCCTCTTTCTCAAACGTAAAACCTGGACTAAGTTTGCCTCTTACTCCTCCGGGATGCGCTCCCTCCCTGCTGGAAATCCATCTTACTACATTCCACCACAGAATTATCCAACAATCATTCCTTTTTAGCTGGCTGGGAATTAGCAACATGGCTCATTTTATTTGGCAACACTGCCAAACGGTTGACTAATAAAGACACTAATTTTCCCTCTCTGCAGTAACCTGCTTGCAAGACACCAAAAAGACAACTTGCTAAATACAACTTCACGTGGTATGGTGTTCTTCAGCATTCCTTCAAAGTAACATCACTGGATAAGGGCCCTTCGTTCCGAAGACATGTCACAACCGAAGATAATTGACGCCGATGTTATTATTCAAATAGATGGTGTTTACTCATCAGATCCAGCAGAGGGCGTGCTAATGAAATAATAATGAAATTCATTCGAGCATCAACGTCGTTTAAATATCTGTCCTTAGATTCCGTCGTCGTTTCATTTCAAAAGCCAGTATGTGCCGTTCGTCATTGGGTAAGTAAAATAGTTGAATCACAGACTCACGACAAGCACTCTATATTCAAAAGTATTTATTAATTTTGTGCATTGTAAATTTCACAATTCAGAGGTACCATAAAAAAAGAGGCCTCGTTAAAAAGACAGAACGTTAACGATTGGGGAAACGGGAGTGGCACACACAACGTGTTTTTTTTTCCGGCAAGGGAAAATATTTTCAAGATTCGTTTTTTTTTTCGTTTTACTCCTGCTCCAAACCAGAATGTGCAGACGGGATTACGACGCCCTCAAAATAAAACGTAGGGTGCGCGCGCACATATATACACACACACATATATCAAAGTAAGAATGCCTAAACCTCACTGAATGTGTAGTACAAATTATTCAACTAAGCTCGCTTAAAAATCACAAACGGGAAAGTTGATCTAAGTTGATCCGCTTTGGGCGAGCTAAAACGTATGAAACTTACAACTTCATTTGGGTTCCCAAAGCTACAGGTAAATCTTCTCTGCCTCTGGTTTCCAAGATCCTTTTTAACCGTGAGGTAAGATTGAATTTTAGGTTTTGCCAATCCGGTAAGACCTCCAATGTCATGCTTCTCCACAAGATCATCCAAACCCCATTTTACAATCTTTCTTGCCTCGGTCGTTAAATGAATCACTGCCGTTGTTAAGTTAGTAACACGGTTGTTAAGTGAATCCGGCTCCCCCCATTGACTTTGCTTGTCAGAAAGTGGCAAAAGGGGATCAACATGACACCCGGGACATTGCGACCGTCATAAATGTGAGTCAGTTGCCAAGCGTCTGAATTTTGATCACGTGACCGTGGGAATGCTGCAACGGTTGTTTAAGTGTGAAAAAGGGTCCAACCTGCTCATTGGAACACCCCGAAGAAGGTGGGCTGCCCGATTTGTTGCGTGGCGAGATGCCGGCTGCAAGCAGGCTTCTTCCAGACCAACATCTAAGATGGAGGGCCTGGTTTTCTACGTCAGCATGAGAACATCGCTTCAAAAATCCAACGTGCCATTTGGCACCATCAACTCCTTCGTGCAACGGATTCGCAGGCCGTGCGAACTCAACTCATTGGTCATCCCCAACAGAGCTGAAGTGTGGACTGAATGGAAGGACCTGCAATCGGTGGATTGCCGGCGAGCTGAGCTTTCGTGACATTGACCCAGCTAGCCATGAATGGCTTCTCGGGTGTTTCCTTGCCTGTGTTTGTGGGGGCATCCAACGGAGAAGAAGCTTGCTCTCTACAAAAATTAGGAGGGCCTAGGGGACTGCCTGCCAAAGCGTGGACAAACATGGCGGGCACCTTTGTAAGGCTCACAAAACTTTGAACCACATCCTACAAGTCTGTGAGAACGACGACAACGTTAAGCTGTCTGCGCCCAAAACGGAATTGTTCACCTGCCCAAGGATTGTGTGCATATCTGGGTTGAAACCATACACACTTGGTCTGGTGATCGAGGCACCAGTCTACAAACCAGGAGACGGTGAGTTCTAATCCTGCCTTAGCCATGAAAGCTGGCTGGGTGACTTTGGGCCAGTCACTCTATCTCAGCTCAACTTCCCTCACAAGGTTGTTGCTGTGGTGAAAATAGGAGGAGAGAGGAATATTGGCATGTTGGCTGCCTTGAGTTATTTCTAAAAATGATAACGGTGGGATTAAAAAAAAAAACTGAATAAAATACACTAGAAGACTACTTCAGTTCCTATCTGAACAACTTACATTTTAACTTTGCTTGTCACAATGCGGCAAAAGGGGGGGGCACATGACTTTGGGACACGGCGACCGTCATAAATATGACGGTCTGAATTTCGATCACGTGACCCCGGGTGATCGTAACTGTGAAAAATGGTCGTAAGCCACTTTTTTCGGTGCCGTTGTAACTTTGAACGGTCACTAAATGAATTGTTGTAAGACGAGGACTAGCTGTGTTATGTAGAAATCATAATAGCGTTTTACTAAATTGGAAATATTTAATGTGAATGGTTAAGAACTGATATATTGTAGAGCAGGAACCAAGGAACTACTTTAAATAGGATAATTTTTTAAAGTGTTTTTTTTTCCTTCTGAAAATCACGTTCATGCTTCATCAGAATGTATTTGAAGGTCTGCTTTAAAAGAAGCTTGTTCTGTAGAATGAGTGATTTATTTTTTATTTTAGAATGAACACACTTCTAAGAACTTTCCTTAGCCTTTTAAACTAATTGCATGGTTCTCCGGATCGAGGCCACCAACTTAGCTGCCTCATTCTGGCATCAGAATTTCATTTTTTTTAACGTGTGCCACTCTGTTTACAGAAAAAAAAGTGAGAATAAAGCTTATCTTCTTATTTAATGGTTCCCTCCAAACCATAACACGATAACTTTTTCTGATCATACCACTTTTATCAAGAAGATTATATAAAAATGTTGTCACATTTATATCATACTACGTGATATAAATTATAGAACACTAATAATACTGTCGTGGAAGAACTTTCTCATACCCATTGCTAATTATTAATGGTGCATTAACATCCATCGTGTTTGATAGTCAATACCATTTTCTCCTCTAGCCAGGAAGGGAAAAAAACTCCGTGCCATCTCTTTTAAACACTATTTTTTGTTGAAAGAACATTGCATTAACATATTTTCCCCCAAAGGAAGACTGAAACAGCCGACTTTTTTCCTTCATGGTGATTTCGAACCAACCTAGTTAAATTTTGGCACGATAGTCTGACTGCCAGAGTCAGAAGCCAAAGTTAAGAGGCCATAATTACTATATAGGTAATCCTTGATTTATGAAGCCTAACTTTCCATGGTGAAGCAAAAAAGTTGCTAAGTGAGTTTTGCCCCAACGTATGACATTTTTGCCACAGTTCTTAAGTGAATCACTGTTAGTTAACGTGGCTATTAAGTGAATCTGGCTTCCCCCCCCCCATTGACTTTGCCTGTCAGAAGTCCGCAAAAGGGGATCACGTGACCCCGGGACACTGCAACCGTCATAAGTACATGTCAGTTGCCAAGCATCCAAAATTTGATCACGTGACCATGGAGATGCAGTGTGAAAAATGGACATAGGTCACTTTTTTTCAGTGTCGTTGTAACTTTGAACGGTCTCTAAATGAACTGTTGTTGAGGTCCACCTGTACATATATGCACCTAGATCAGGGGTGGGGAACCTTGGCTCTTTTATGACTCATGGACTTCAACTCCCAGAATTCCTCAGCCAGCCACGCTGAGGGGAAAGGGAGAGGTTTCCAAGCTGAGCCAAGCTGGCTCAGGAATTCTGGGAGTTGAAGTCCACGAGTCATAAAAGAGCCAAGGTTGCCTACCCCTGGACTAGATGATCTCCAAGGTCCCTTCCAACTATTATTATTATTATTATTATTATTATTATTATTATTATTATTATTATTATTATTATTATTACTGCGACCATCGTAAACATGAGCCAATTACCAAGAGTCCAAATTTTGATCACGTGACCTTGGGGATGCTCCAATCCAAGCCTGAAAAACACTCATAAGACACTGTTTTCAGTGCCGTTGTAACTTTGAAAGGTCATTAACTTTGTAAGTCAACCTATACCAGGGGTAGGCAACCTTGGCTCTTTTATGACTCGTGGACTTCAACTCCCAGAATTCCTAAGCCAGCCTGGGGGAACTATGGCCCCCTCATGACTCGTGGACTTCAACTCCCAGAATTCCTGAGCCAGCATGGCTCAGCTTGAAACCTCTCCCTTTCCCCTCAGCGTGGCTGGCTCAGGAATTCTGGGAGTTGTAGTCCACGAGTCATAAAAGAGCCAAGGTTGCCTACCCCTGGCCTAGAAGGAGGCACCTAGCTGGACCATGGCACCTAGCTGAGTTTGGATCATCTCAAAAATTTAAATGGGGAGAACGGTATTTGGATAGGAACACACACCCCCAGGAAGAACCAGGGCTGTGGGCTAAATAAGAAAGTGAAGAACAGCCCCCAAAGGCAACCAAGATCAACCTTCCATATTGCTACCCAAAAAATAAAAATAAAAATGCAACAAAGGTGTATCTGTGAAATCACCAGGAGTTTTGCTCAATTCAAGGGAGATTTGTGTCTGTTAAAATGTGACAGTGAGCCTGTTAGTGGATAAAGTTTTGCCTTTTAACCAGCGCACAGGTCAACAATTGTTCTCGGGAAGTGAAAAAATAGCACATACACAGTTAAGATTACAACAGCAAGAAACTATACAGGCATCATCAAAAGCCTCCCAAGTTCTGGAAGGTGTGTACAGCGTCCTTCACACAGACGAAATGAAACCTTATAAAACAGTCAGGTGTAAAAAAAGGACCAAAATCGGACAGACTAAGACCAGACGTAGGTCATAAAATTTACCTAGAACACAAGGCCATGCTTTTATCGTTTGGAGGACTTTTTCAAATACACTATTTTTTGGTTTTTTTTTTACAAATGCCACCTTTAGTACCGATTCAACCAGTTAGCAAATCAAAAAATACCGTACGTACCACCTAATCTCTCCTAGACTGCGTCCGGGCACCCTAATCACCTTAACCTACCACGTTCATTCGACACGTGGACAAAACGAGATTTATTTTTGCAGTGTCTTCCACGGGATAGTTGAGAGAAACCGTAATCAAACAGGGACAGTTTTGGTCAACAAAACTTCTGCAATCCAGTGAATCTGGGCTTCTTTCTTTCTGAAAAACTGCACCTGCCATTTGCTAAAAAAAAGATTTATTCCCAAACCTGTTGATTGAAGGAAGAGACTCGCAATGAGGCAAGATAAAATAAAAAGTCCTGTCAGTTTGCACATATCTTTAGATTGCAGCACTGTGTGTCTTGCACTTCTTAAATGACATGTCCCAAATGACATGTTTTTCCTCGAAGAAGTTTCATTTCTCATCCAAGAAGCTTCTTTAGTTCAGTCAGAACTGAAGGATCTTCCTGGATGAGAAGCGAAACGTCTTCAAAGAAAAACAAGAAAGTCCAGTTGCCTTTTGAAAAAGCACTTTTGGGACAACCAAGACCTGGAACGGTTGAGAATCTCCATGGACACTTAAATGAAATGCTTATAAGTGATTTACAAAAGCCGTTACCTTTTTTAAAAGCGAAAAATGTTTCTAAATCTACAACATCGTACAGGTGGTCTTCAACGTACAGCCACCGCTGAGCCCATTATTTATGTTTTGTGAGTATGGCCTCGTTTTATGACTTGTCTTGCCATAGCCGTTAAGCGAATCACTGCAGTTGCTAAGTTAGTAGCACGGGTGTTAAGTGAATCTGGAATCCCCATGACTTTGCTTGTCAGAAGGTCGCACAACATCAGGGGTAGGCAACCTTGGCTCTTTTATGACTCGTGGACTTCAACTCCCAGAATTCCTGAGCCAGCATGGGGAAACTATGGCCCCCTCATGACTTGTGGACTTCAACTCCCAGAATTCCTAAGCCAGCATGGCTCAGTTTGGAAACCTCTCCCTTTCTCCTCAGCGTGGCTGGCTCAGGAATTCTGGGAGTTGAAGTCCCTGAGTCATAAAAGAGCCAAGGTTGCCTACCCCTGCACAAGACGATCACATGACCTCCTGGGACAACTGCAACCGTCATAAATGTGAGTCGGTTGACAAGCATCCGAACGTAAACCACGGGAAGGCTGCAACGGTTGTGTGAAAAATGATCCCAAGTCCCTTTTTTCAGTGCCTTTGTAACTTTGAACGTTCGCTAAATGGGCGGTTGTAAGCTGAGGACTACCTGTAGGAAGTTGTACGTTGCCGCCAAAGGCTTACGAAACCGATGTTATTGGAAAGGTGAATGACTTTGTGCAAAAAAAAAGAGAAGGCAAACAAATTTGGGACAGGGGAGGAAAGAAATCCGAGCTCCTATAAAATCAAGAACAATGCTTAGCATCTATAGGAAGATAAGATGTCGGTTCAGTGGACTAACCACTACTGTGCTGTTTGTCGGACACAGGTTGCGCGCCTCCATACTTCATGCAGTGGGCTCAGAGATATCCATGTTTGTCCCAAAGAGAGCGACCAGCTGTTCTTCATAATTTGCAATGTTCCTTTTCATAATTTCCATGCAAGGTCCCAGAAGCCTTTCAAAAGCTTGTACATCCATAACTAAAATATTAAAAGAGAGAGAAATTACACGCAGGTTACACGGGGACGGTAAATTATTTCTAGGGACAAATTTTCTGCCATGAAACGGTTTTAAGGAAGACCCGCTTTGACCACATCAGCTGAAAAATTAACGAGCGAAGCAAAGTATAGAAGCAGATATGCCTGGCTTTCCTGTGCACCCAGTTGAATCTGTTCCCTCTTTCCAATGAAATCTCGCCCGCAAGCCGAGAGCAAGCTCTGGATCAGAAGAAAAAAAAACTTCTGATATCTGTGGGAGACGAGCAGAGCCTGGGGGCGGGGTCAAGAGAGGAATAAGCCTAGAATCGTTATGTCGCCACAAATGCTCCTAGTCCAGGCCACCTTGAATTCCTCTGATTTTTATCTAGCATCAATTCACTGCTGATCACTAGTTGACTAGATTCTTGTGTACAGGCATGAGCAATAAATCATCTTAACTGGAATTTAACTTACGGTCCTGATTCTTCACGTCTGACAATATCTTCCACATATCCCAAAAAATAGGGGCCAATTAGGTCCAGTCATGTTTTTCAAAGTTTTCGAGAGCAGCAGTATCAAAGATGATGATCAAAATTAAGGTGTGTATCAGTTATAGGCTCCTTTCTCCAATATTGCAAAAACTGAACGGAGATAAACCATGCTGGGTATGAGCAGGATCTGCCCCTCCTAACTAAAATCTATTTCTTTAAAGAAAAATGTTGTCTCCCTTTAGACTAAATAAGTTAAAGAGTCGGGAGTTGAGGACTTCCTGTACAACAGTGAACTCCAGAAAAGTTACGACATTTGGAACTATAATGGGAAGGGATATTACAGGTAATCCTTGATTTATGACCACAATTGAGCCCAAAATTTATGTTGCTAAGTGAGACAATGAAATGAGTTTTGCCCCAAGCATCTGAAATTTTGAACACGTGACCCTGGGGACGCCGCAAAGCTGCTAAATGAAAACGCCTTATTCTGTTTGCTATGAAACAAAGTAAGTTTCATATCTGGGATTTGGGATAGGTAAAGAAGTCGTGGTAAACTTTCTACGAGTTGAGCACAATAAATAGTTTGTCAACAGAGGTTTTTGAAATTTTAATCCTGCCTTCTTTTTGTTCTACCTGTTAACTATTTTGTTATTCATATAATATAGTACAGAGGTCTCCAATCTTTCCGGACTCGCGGCCTGGAGGGAAGGAGAGCGGGTTTCAAATTCGTACGGTACGTTTGTGCATGCGCAAATGGGCTGCGTGCACCCACCCGACGCTAGGAGCCCCGTTCGCGCCCGCGCGCATGCACAAATGGGGCTGTGGGCGCTAGCGCACACCAGCCAGCCATTTCCGCGGAGTGCTGGCCAAGAGATCGTGGCCCGGTGGTAGACCGCGGCCCATAAATTGGGGACTCCTGATATAGTAGATAGAAGATAGTTTAATAATTTGCAAATAGAATTTTAAAAATGCTGGGCCCGTTTTGTACGGAGTGGGGAACTAATATTGTTGTGATATATTTGTCAATATTCAACTAGGGGGCATAAGATATGTATATTATATGTTTGTGGTTTTTTTAATGCACTTTTTTCAATGTCTTATTTATTTTGTTTCTGTAAAAACTTCTTTTTTTGGAGTTTTGTATGGAGGGTTTTTTTTTTTAATTTTTAGAAAAAGCTGAAGAAGAAAAAAAAAGAAAGAAAGAAACTTAAGTTCCAAAATATAAGCACTGTGTATTACTTAAGCATTTGACTGTCCCAAGCGCAAAGGCTGAGGCCGCTCGGGGTTTGTTTGTCACAAGCGCCAATTCGCCAAAATACTGTCCTCTGGTATAGCGGGCGATTTCCACCGCTTCGTTTCCATCTATGTCTTGTTTGCCCTGGGAAGGGGAAAAAAAAAGAAAAAAAGGATCCCAACATTTCTTCCAAAAAAGCCAAGTTGAAATTCATGTTATTATTTCATTAACAAAATACAGTGTTTATTCATGCGTGATTTTATTCAGTCTAACTTCAGCCAACTGAAAAACCTTTTCGTAACTTTGTTTAAGAGAGGGTACCTTTCTTTTCATCGTAATTTTCACTTCTCCGGTTTCCACAATAAAGAAACAGTCGGCCGTGTCTCCCTACAAGCAATTGACAAAAAAACATAAAGACAATGGGTTTAGCGGTTCCAGAGTTGTCGTTCTTTTAAGTAGAAAGTTTTTTTAAAAAATCCCCAAATCAATCAATCAGTCAATCTCAGAAACGGTAGAAATAAAATCATAGTAATATTATTCTAGGCGCTTGAAGAAATTTAGCGGGCACTGAATAAAAAGTAGCCGTGCCTTCTTTACACAGTCATTTGCTGATTATTTTTAAGATTTGGGCAAAGAGAAATACAGTTTGCTATGTCTAGCCATGGGGTAGGCAACCTTGGCTCTTTTATGACTCGTGGACTTCAACTCCCAGAATTCCTGAGCCAGCCACGCTGAGGAGAAAGGGAGAGGTTTCCATACTGAGCCATGCCGGCTCAGGAATTCTGGGAGTTGAAGTCCACGAGTCATAAAAGAGCCAAGGTTGCCTACCCCTGACCTAGAGGAACATATGAAAGCATAATTAATGTTAATTAATGTAGACTTTATTCGTTAAGAGCAGGGGTAGGCAACCTTGGCTCTTTTATGACTGGTGGACTTCAACTCCCAGAATTCCTCAGCCAGCCACGCTGAGGGGAAAGGGAGGTTTCCAAGCTGAGCCATGTCGGCTCAGGAATTCTGGGAGTTGAAGTCCACGAGTCATAAAAGGGCCAACTTTGAAAAACCCCTGCTTTAATATCTCTTAACTCAAGAGAGTTAGAATAAGCTATCTTCCGAAAATCCAGGTGTTAGGAAATACTCTCATCGTTATCTCTTTTTGAAAAGGGAGGGAGGGGGAATAAGAAAAAGGAAAAATAAAAGCTTTTGATCGCTTTTTTCCAGGTGGAAAAAATGGTATACCGTCTGAGCTACAGCTTATCAAAATAAAAACATTATTGTCGTCTTTCGGTCGCTAAGTCTTTGTGACCCCATCGGCCACAACACGCCAGGTCTCCCTGTCCTCCTTTGTCTCCTGGAGTTTGCCCAAATTCAGGTTCGTGGCATCCATGACAGTATCTAACCATCTCATCCTTGTGGGAAGCCAGCAGAGAAAATTGCACATGGGAATGACGTGACCATGGGACTATCAAGGCATGAAAAACCAGGCCCACACATGAAGGTTCAATTAGTCCCCAACCCGAAGTCTATGGACCAGTATTGGGCTATGGCATGCCAGCAACCGGTCTGCAGAAACAAGCAAAGCCCCATCCGCAGGATGCAGGCAGCACACAAAACCACGCACCCTCCGGTCCGCGGAAAAACCTTTCTCTACGGAACCGGTCCCTGGTGCCCCAAAAGTTGGGGACCTCTGAATTAAACTGATTTATTGTTAAACAGCCTACACACAGGAATCTTCTCAACTAACAGCATTTGTTTGGCGTTAGGTAAAGGTCCATGGAATTCAAAGGAGGCTGGACTTAGTTCACTTGTGGCTATGTAGGGATTCTAGGCTGATCTCTCTTTTGACTCCGCCCCCAGGTTCTGCCACTCCTTCTCCCACACTAACCACTGTAATTGTGAGCTGGTTGCCAAGCTCTCAGATCACAATCACATGGCCCACAGGGATGCTGCAACAGCTGCTATTTCAAGGGCTGGCCCTATGTCCCCTTCACTCAACCCGGTCGTAAATTTGAACAGATGCTGGTCGTGATCCAAGGACTAACTGTAATCAGCCAAAAATTTCAATTCTGAATGCCACTTTTTTTCAGCTACGTGTTTTTTTCAATCCCATTTGTTCTGTTTCAGAAAATCTTTTGTAATAAGAAGCCGTTGTGCTTTTAAATACCTATAGAGTTAACAGAATAATAAACATATCTGGAACAATTAAGTAATTACCTGAGCAATTATTTGTTCCCCGTCTTTATATATTTTGGTGCCTATCACGTCCACCACTTTCAAACGTTCAGAAAGCTTAAACAGAAAATAAAACATATTATGTAAATATGTAGACACACATATTGTTTGATATTTGATATCATCTTAAAATTGTAATGAAAAGTGTCGTTTTTCCTCTTGTATGTTATTGTAATTTTAATTTGTTGGAGGTGTGAAATAGATTTCAAAGTTTTTTGGGGGGGGGTCTTTTTACATTAGTTTCGAATTTCATCCTAAATCTAACTTCGGAACTCATGTCGCAACAGATCTAGTCGCAGTAATATATTTAAGAAGACTATTTAGAAAAATATTTAAGACATGAGATGGCAAAAGTGGACTAGTGCACTGATATTTTCTATTTAGAAAATGAAGGAGAAATGCAGTTAAGACAAAATTTGTGACCAGCAAAGTCACAGCAATTTAGTTGAAAAGAAAAAAATGGTCAAAATTACTCTAAAAGAAATACGTGCATGTTTTTGCAATTATTATTGGAATTTAGCAACTGAAAACAAAACTGTACAAGTTCCTAAGAGAAAGGGCAGGCTGTACAACGTTCCCTAGCCCAGGGGTAGGCAACCTTGGCTCTTTTATGACTCGGGGACTTCAACTCCCAGAATTCCTGAGCCAGCCATGCTGAGGGAAAAGGGAGAGGTTTCCAAGCTGAGCCATGCTGGTTCAGGAATTCTGGGAGTTGAAGTCCACGAGTCATGAAGGGCCAAAGTTTCCCCCATGCTGACTCAGGAATTCTGGGAGTTGAAGTCTATGAGTCATAAAAGAGCCATAGTTGCCTACCCCTGCCCTAGGATAGTTTAGCATATATTTAGAGATACATGCTTAGAAATATTTATGCACGAGAATCAAGACGTATCTATGTCTATACAGGTAATCCTCAACTTACAACAGTTCATTTAGTAACTGTTCAAAGTTACAACAGCAGTGAAAAAAGTGACTTATGACCATTTTTCACACATATGACCCCAGGGTCACGTAATCAAAATTCAGACGCTTGGCAACTGACTCATATTTACGACGGTCGCCGTGTCCCGGGGTCACGTGATTCCCTCTTACGACCTTCTGACAAGCAAAGTCAATGGGGGAAGCCGGATTCACTTAACCACCGTGTTACTAATTTAATAACTGCAGTGATTCATTTAACAACTGTGGCAAGATAAGTCATAAACTGGCGTAAAATTCACTTAACGAATGTCTCGCTTAGCGATATAAATGTTGGGCTGAATTCTGGTCATTATGTCGAGGACTATCCGTAGTTACAACCTCCAGAGATTCAAGGGATAAAACCAGGAGTAACTACTCCAGCTCAGTTAGCCCTCGATGATCAAAACAGGGGTGATTTACAAAGGCAAGTTCGTTTTCCTTCACAAACAACGCAACTGAACTAAATGAAGGTCAGTCATCTTAGAAAATCTGCAAATGCACCTATGACATTATTGTTTGATATCATTCTGCACAAAGTGACTGAAATTACTCTAGCAAGGTGCACTTACTTCTAAAGATTTAAGGAAGGGCAATGATTCAATGAAATTTTCATACATTCTTCTCTTTTTCGCGTTGTTTTTCACAATGATCCTTCGAAATGTTACTCTGTCCTAAAAAAGGGAAAATGACAACAAATCATGGTTAAAGAGCGTGATGTTCTTGACAATGCCTGCAGTCTTTTCACTGGCAGAGAATGGGACAGGAATCTGGTGTGTGTTTGCACAAGTGTAAGCTTAACCATGTTTAGCGCACTGTTTTAATTTTCAGTTAAGTCTCAGACTCCAAAAACTTCTAAGACGTAAAAAGAGCGACAGAAGGATGATTTTGAAAACACTCAAATACTACCATCTATTTCCCTGGATACTAAACAGGCTTTAATGTAAATACGGGGGCATCTCCATACTCGTAGTTAATTGGTCCCGGGAGGTGCGATGAGTATCAAAAACAATGAGTATCAAACAAATTTTTTCCTATAAGGAATAATGTAGCATGTCGCAAGGCAGCTGACATGGATACGTTCTAGCTTGTGCATTGAGTACTTAACAAATGATGAGTACCGGGACAAAATTTTCATGTCAAGTACCAAATGTATCAAGTACCAAATCGGATGAGTTTCAAAACAATTGAGTACCAAGGTACCATTGTAGAGATTCTCTAAGTATGTTCCTTTATTGTCCCTCACCTATAGACAGAAATCTCGCCAAACTAAAGCAGATTGCTTGCGCTATAAAACATGTGCTCCAGGAATTATTAGGGAGGAGTCATCTTCACCCCCTTTCTCACACACAAGCGGTTAGAAATTCTCTTTATATATAGCACCACGCTTTACTGCTAAACTGTTTCACTGTAACAGGAAGCAGGTTAGCAGTAAAGCACATGGGGATTGTACTCTTTGTTTGAGCTGTGGTGTTATATAGAAACAGAATTTCTAACACAGGCTACCTTGCACATTCTGTGCAATCAACTCTAGGTATTAATATATTCAAACGGGGGCATCTGCGAGAGAGTAAAAAAAAAAACCACCCCAAAATGGCGAGCACAACTTGGCGTTGAAACTTAAACTTCGCCCTTTTTAGTGCGCTAATGGGGCAGGGTTTTGATGTGGAATGTTAGTACCACTTTATAATTCCTTGGTAAGATCACACTTCGAATACTGCATCCAGTTTTGGTCGTCACCATATAAAAAGAAGATGTTGAGACTCTAGAAAGGGTTCAGAGAAGAGCAACAAAGATGATCAGGGGGCTGGAGGCTAAAACATATAAGAAATGGCTGCTGGAATTGGGCATGTCTAGTTTAATGAAGAGAAGGACGAGGGGGGACATGACAGCAGTGTTCCAGTATCTCAGGGGCTGCCCCAAAGAAGAGGGAGTCAAGCTATTCTCCAAAGCGCCTGAAGGCAGGACAAGAAGCAACGGGTGGAAACTAATCAAGGAGAGAAGCAACCTAGAACTAAGGAGAAATTTCCTGACAGTTAGAACAATTAACCAGTGGAACAACCTGCCTCCAGAAGCTGTGAATGCTCCAACACTGGAGGTTTTTAAGAAGAGACTGGACAGCCATTTGTCCGAAATGGTATAGGGTTTCCTGCCTGAGCAGGGGGTTGGACTAGATGACCTCCATGGTCCCTTCCAGCTCTATTATTCTGTCGATTGCACTAGTGTGGCTTTCATCTTGATTCTGACACACACACACACACACACACACACACACACACACACACACACATATCTGGGCTCCTCTGGATTCGAATTCTTCTACCATTTTTCAGACTGGTGAAGAGGGCAAAACTCTCCGATACTTTTGGAGTGATCTTTCATTACAGGCCCTCCTAATGGATTCAGAAATCTTTTATTTCTTTTAGGCACTGATGATGTTACCTAGTTTGGTAATGAAACATCTGCAAAAAACAAACAAACCAAAAAACCCCCCACAAAAAAAACAATCATCTCACCAAACCCCAAATGGCGCCAGGAGAGGTAGCAACGATAGTAGCCGCTCTGGGTGTGTTGTACATTAAAGCCAATTCTCCAAAACTCCCGCGGTTGTCATAGTTGCCAACGCATCTTCCGTCGCCGTCGCATTTTACGACGATATTGTAGGTCCCGCTGAAAAGCAGAAAAATGAAACCCAGCCGTGAAAAAGGCAATTATTTGCAGCGTTGAACCATAATGTATTCCACACAGACAAACTTCGAGTTCGTTAAGATTTATCACCTTCGCAACATGGAGTGAAAGGCGGTCCTCAACTTACGACTGGCAAGGGAGAGCGCAAGGGCGGTGTCGTAACTTTGAAAACAGCCACAAACAACTCTGAGGAAGTCCATGGTAACTTCTGAACCAATTGCTAAGCAACTGAGCGCAGCTTTTACTCCATTACTAGGATCTAAGGGAGGCCGTCTGTATAGGGGGTCCTCGCTTTACGAAATCGTTAATTGCTAAGCGAGACAGTTGTGCACTGAGTTTTGCCCCATTTTGCAACCTTTCTTGCCACGGTTGTTAAGTGAGTAACAGGGGTGGTTAAGTGAATCCGGCTTCCCGGGACAGGGCAACCGTCATAAATATGAGTCGGTTGCCAAGTATCTGAATTTTGATCACGGGACCGTGGGGAGGCTGCAACAGTCGGAAGTGTGAATGTCACTTTTTTCAGTGCCATTGTTGCTTCGGACGGTCACTAAACGACCTGTGGTAAGTTGAGGACTACCTGTATAACAACAGAATCTTCTACACCAGGGGTGTCAAACTCAATTTCATTGAGGGCCGCATCAGCATTGCGGTTGCCCCCGTGTGTGTGTGTGTGTGTGTGTGTGTGTGGCCAGGGTGGGTGTGGCCTACTGGGTGGGCATGGATGGAGTGGGTGTGGCCTATTGGGTGGGCGTGGCTAGCTCTACATCGTTCGCGTCAAGGGTGCCTGTAGGGGCCTGGGCAGGACAGATCTGAGGGTCTCTGGCAGAAGGGGGTGGGACCGGGGCAAGCGCCAAGGCATGGTCCACTGGAGGAGCCCCACTGCCTGCCGAAACCCCTTCGCCGGAGCCCATCAAGCCCGATATGTGAAGTAGGCGAGGGCCATTTGCTGGCCACTTCCAAGCAATGGTCCATTTCTTCATTCCTCACAAAGGGTGACCCCTCCCCAGCATGCACCCAGGGGACGGGGCCGACGCGGCAGGGGCTGGTTCCTCGCTGTTTCCAGACGGTCTTGCGGAGCTAAGACTGAATGCGTTTCAGCATAGATGGCCACCACAAAATTGTACATTGGCTCCCGGCCGGCTGGGGCCAGGGCCAAAGCAGCGGGGGCCGTTCCCTCACTGTTTCCAGGATGGCTTCGCGGGCCACATGAAACCACTTCGCGGGCCGCATCCGGCCCCCCGGGCCTTGTGTTTGACATGTCTGTTCTACACCCTGGAGAATCAAGGTAGCGTTATTCTGTTTTTATCCTTCCTTCTTTCCCTGGTCTGAGATTTTACTTACCCACTCTTTATCATTTTCATTCATACTTAATCATTCAGACGTGCTACGAAGTCCTATGTTCAGCAGGAAACTGGGGCTTATCTCAAGGTCTCCTGCTTGGGTAGGGGGTTGGACTAGAAGACCTCTAAGGTCCCTTCCGACTCCGTTTATCCTGTTAAATTGGATACTGAAGATCTGCCCATTAGGAGAGGGAGTCTAAAAGGAGCCTGGCCAAGTAAGATTGCTTTTTGTACGTTGGCCAAATCATCTATTAGATTGTGTTTACCGTATTTTTCCCATTGTCCATTTGATTCTGGCTACGAGTAGCCATTTATAATGCAAACAAACTTTTCTAATGCAAACAAACTTCCACACCTGCAACCAATGTTGGTCACCCTGCTCCAAAAAAAGATGTTGAGACCTTGGAAAAAGTTCAGAGAAGAGCAACTAAGATGATCCGAGGCCTGGAGACTAAAACATACGAAGAACGGCTGCGGGACTTGGGTTTGGCTAGTCTAAAGAAAAGAAGAAATAGGGGAGACATGATAGCAGTGTTCCAGTATCTGAGGGGCTGCCACCAAGAAGAGGGGGTCACGTTATTCACCAAAGCACCAGAGGGAAAGACGAGAAACAATGGTTGGAAACTGTCCAAAGAGAGAAGCAACCTGGAATTAAGGAGAAACTTCCTGACAGTGAGGACAATTAACCAGTGGAACAACCTGCCTCCAGAAATTGTGAATGCTCCAACACTGGAAGTTTTTAAGAAGAGACTGGACAACCATTTGTCTGAAATGATATAGGGCAGGGGTCTTCAAACCTGGCCCTTTTATGACTTGTGGACTTCAATTCCCAGAATTCCTCAGCCAGCATGCCAGGCTGAGGAATTCTGGGAGTTGAAGTCCACAAGTCATAAAAGGGCCAAGTTTGAAGGCCCCTGGTATAGGGTTTTCTGCCTGAGCAGGGGGTTGGACTAGAAGACCTCCAAGGTCTCTTCCAACTCTATCATTATTAGAGTTAAAAACTGGAGGTTTTTAAGAAGAGACTGGACAGTCAATTGTCTGAAATGGTATAGGTTTCCCTGCTTGAGGAGGGGGCTGGACTAGAAGACCTCCAAGGTCCCTTCCAACTCAACTCAACTCAACTCAACTCTATTCTACTCTACTCTACTCTACTCTACTCTACTCTACTCTACTCTACTCTACTCTACTCTACTCTACTCTACTCTACTCCACTCCACTCCACTCCACTCCACTCCACTCCACTCCACTCCACTCCACTCTCCACTCCACTCCACTCTAAACTGTATTTGACGCAATATTGTAATTTCAGCCTCTACACACCAATACCCCGGGAGATACTTACCGATCAATTACATAGAAGTTGTCGCCATCATCTCCTTGATCAATGACGTGTTCTCCCCCTTCAACTAGCTTTTCAAACATGGCATCCAGAACTTGGGACATCTGTTCCTGTGAACCCATCAATTTTATTATTACCGTCACCGGCCAGGGAATCAAACCATCAACTTCGTCGTTAATCAAGAATATAAGAAGAGCAGAAGGACCACTTTTAACACCGAAAGGTATCTCAAAGGAATGTTGGAAATGTAAAAAGTAAAAAAGGGATCTTTTATCCTAGAGGTATTCCCCAACTTACGACTACAGCTGAGCCCAACGTTAAAACACAAATTTTGCTCCTTAAATATAGGTGCATCACATTGCTGTGTAGCTACAAAAGGACAGAATTGGCATCTTGATGTCAACAAGCACGTTTCGGCACGTTGGCATCGTCTGTGTTAGCGATATAAAGCACAGGTTGTCCTCGACTTACAACAGTTCATTTAGTGACCGGCCGCTCAAAGTTCCAACGGCACTGAAAAAAGGGACTTACGGCCGACCTTTCCAGCATTCCCATGGTCGTGTGATCAAAATTCAGAAGCTTGGCAACTGACTCATATTTACGACGGTCGCAGCGTCCCGGGGGTCACGCGATCCCCTTTTGCGATCTTCCGGCAAGCAAAGTCAACGGGAACAGCCAGTTTTACTTAACAACTGTGATACTAACTTAACAACTACGGGGATGCATGAACAAATGTGGGCAAGAAAAGTCGTAAAAAATGGGGCAAAACTCAACGTATTTCTCACTTAGCCACATAAGTTTTGAATTCAGTTGAGGTCGTAAGTTGAGGACTGCCTGTACATAAATTTATTCAGAGAGCTGAAGTCCCTGGATAGCAACTAGGTAGACAAAGGCTGATTTAAAAAAAAATAATGAAAATAAAATAAATAAAATAAATAAATCGTGCCTTATTTCACCATATAATTTAAAACCCTTTCCTCCTTGATTCCACGTTGCTTTAGAATATGATATGAACCTAAGAATTTATAGCAACAACACAGAAATAAGTATTTAACAAAGAATAGCGTTTCAGAATAAGTTATTTGTAAATATGTGAACTACTGTGTGACCCGTTGTTAGTATCTCATTTTTTTTTGCTTCTCTCATATCCCACCTGTAATATTTCTGAAAACAGTAACGTTCTAATATTTCTTAAGTTAACCTACATATCTGTATATATATTCTGTATATATGTATATATATGTCATGTGTGTGTGTCTGTCTATATCTATACATCTACATCTACATCTACTATCTATCTATCTATCTATCTATCTATCTATCTATCTATCTATCTATCTATCTATCTATCTATCTATCTATCTAACTAACTAACTAACTAACTAACTAACTAACTATATGTGTGTGTGTATCTATATCTATATATCTATATATCTATATATCTATATCTATATATCTATCTATATCTATATATTTAGCTATCTATATAAATAAAAATGTAAATGTTCGTTTGTTCAAAATCTTAAATCTCCTAAAGTTCTTCACCGATTGCTTTGAAATTTTGACACAACGTTGCATTCGAATACGCGCGTGTTTTTATATGTCTATATTATATAGATGTCACACCTGTGACAGGTAAAAACATGCTTTTTTGAAAAACAGCGCCATCTGTTGGACGTAAAAGCAACACACGCTTTTACCAGACTGAGCCACAGCAACGCATGGTTGGGTACAGTTAGTCTAGATATAAATCTATATCTATATCTAGCTATGTGTGTGTGTATGTGTGTCTATATACACACACATACATATATACACATATACAGTACGCATACATACACACACACACACACAAATATATTATCACTGCATAAAAAGTCACTCTTACCTGATCTAAGTTCTTAAACAGGAGAATATCTTTGCAAGCTTCCTGTAGCCTGTTTCTTTGATCATCTGTTTTGGGGTGAATAACCTGAAAGAGATTATTAAAAGTTAGGCTTTCTTGAGACTATTTTTAGGCAAAATTATCTTCCAACAGGCCAGGCCAATTCAAACTAATACAGATGTGTTATTAGGGTTTTGTGAACCAAACATCTGAAAAAGGTTTTTAAATCTCATTATTACAAATACAAAGGACAGGAACGGGGAAAAAATGCCCATCTTAATTTCCCCACTGTTATTTAAAAACAAAATTAGAATAAATGTAATAGTGGAAAATGTTTTAACCATATATTACATTTTACAGATGTCTATGGATATACATATAGATATAATGTATGTGTATGCTTAAAAAACTTTGAAAACACTATTTTTTTTTCAAAAATATGCCTTTTTACTGAAAGATATTTTATTTCCTGGCTGCACATACCCTTGATTCAGTGTCGTCGTCTTCTTCATCGGGATTATAAGCTTCTGCACACACTGAAAACGAAAACAAAAATGCACATTCATTCGTAAATGCTCATTTATTTTCACCCCTTTTGCTTCTGAGTTACAATCAATATTGGCTGCTGAAGTTTTGTTTGGCCTTCTTGCAAAGTAAAGCTTGCTTTGCTTTTGCTTATATAATGTGGCTTGATGAGTATCCCGAAATAAGGGGGAAAAAAGGATACACACGATTGAAATAAATAAATGAAATAATCTGGAAGATGGCGGGGGAGGAGTCTGCACACTTTCCAGATGTCCAAGTTAACAGCAGTGGCCTGAGAAGACTAACTTTGACATCTGACTTGGTCCAGATGTTTTTAATTCTACCAACAGACACACTTTTGTACCAACAAAATCGTAGCTCTTTAAATACAACATATCAACTGTCCTTGAGGTTGATCACTGGAATGTTGAGTCCCTTTCTCTGAAGCAGGGATTTCTCCGTACTCTCCATCTTCTGCACTAAATTCATCAACTCTGCATATCAAGAAATACCCTTCCTTCCCTTTTTCAACAGCTGAATCTATCTGTCTGTCTGTCTATTACAGGGGTCTTCAAACTTGGCCCTTTTATGACTTGTGGACTTCAACTCCCAGAATTCCTCAGCCAGGCACGCTGGCAGAGGAATTCTGGGAGTTGAAGTCCACAAGTCATAAAAGGGCCAAGTTTGAAGACCCCTGATCTATCTTCTCTCTCTCATCCATCTAACTTCTCTCTCTCTCTCTCTCTCTCTCTCATCTATCTATCATCTATCATCTCTCTCATTCATCTATCTACTCTATCTCTAATCTATTTTATCATCTATCTATCTATCTATCTTCTATCTATCATCTTCTCTCTCTCACTCATCTATCTACTCTCTCTATCTCTCTATCTACTCTATTTTATCATCTATCTATCATATATCTATCTATCTATCATCTATCATCTCTCATTCATTATCTACTCTCTCTATCTCTATCTCTCTATCTACTCTATTTTATCATCTATCTATCATCTATCTATCATCTATATCATCTATCTATCTATCATCTATCATCTCTCTCATTCATCTATCTACTCTATCTCTCTATCTCTATCTCTCTACTCTGTTTTATCATCTATCTATCTATCTATCTATCTATCTATCTATCTATCTATCTATCTATCTATCTATCTATCTATCTATCTGATTTGATTGGTGCTCATCTTTCTGTAAGGCAACTCTGGACAGCTTACAACGTTAAAAGCAACAAAACCATAAAAATACATGTGTCTAATAACAATAAAAATACAACTTATTATTAAAAGATGGGGAGGGGAGGGAGTGGGGTGCACAAGTGGAGAGATGGGATCTGCTACCCATCAACCAGCTCCAGCGTGACACTCTCCCGTCGGGGTCCCAAGAATTTCTACCATGCTAGTCCGATGCTACCATTTTTTGTGAGTGCCAGACTGGCCCCCGGTATTCAAACGCAAATCCAATAAACGTGCTCGGATCAGAGCAAAACAAAAGGGCCTTGGACTGCAATATTATACCACTCAGAAAGCTTTTAGAGCATGTGTGTCCCTAACCTAACCCCCTATGGTGTCTTCTGTCTACATGCTAAAAGCTTCACGGGTGATGAAAAATTATTTATGCACGTGGCACTTAAACGCAAGACTTTTTATTTCCCTATTGCTAAACAGCAACCTGTAATCTAGATGAAAAATATAACATCCGCAAAATGTCTTTAGGACGCAATAGCAGAAATGGCCAGGAAAAATGTCACCCAAGACGGTGGTCCCCAACCTTTTGGGCACCAGGAATTGGTAACGTGAAGCAGTATATACATCTAAGTGCTATTGCTATGCCTGCCTTCCTTCCTTCCTTCCTTCCTTCCTTCCTTCCTTCCTTCCTTCCTTCCTTCCTTCCTTCCTTCCTCTCTTATTCCCTTTCTCATTCTCCTTCCTGGTGGGACAGTGGTTAAAAGGAAGTATTGCAGGCTAATTCTGCCCACTGCCAGCAGTTCGATCCTGACCGGCTCAAGGTTGACTCAGCCTTCCATCCTTTCGAGGTTGGTAAAATGAGGACCCAGATTGTTGGGCTCAATATGCTGACTCTGTAAACCGCTTAGAGAGGGCCGTAAAGCACTGTGAAGTGGTGTATAAGTCTAAGCGCTATTGCCGCTACTATCCGTCAAGAGTGAAAATTTGGCAGCTATGTGCCTCTGGTTCTACGGAAGCCTGCTGACGGCAGGATGGAAACCTTTCAAGGACATTCTAGCAGGTGTGAAGAAGATAGCTGACGGTTCCCGTAAGAAAGAGAACGTGTTTACATGAGCTACGTGGACATCTGGGGGGAGTTTGGCTGGGAAAGTCACAGTTATATGCTACCATCTGAATCCTTGGGATTTCGGAGTTAGTTTTACCTCGCCTTTACCAGGCCACGCGTTCAATAAACACTCAGCTTTTCAGAAATGAAAATTATCCTGGACTTTTTATTGGGATACTTGAGCTGGACGTTGACCCTGTCCCTGTGTCAATTCACAAGACCTTCCAGCTCTGATGGTCTTTAAAAAGCGCTAACCTCTCTTCCTGTTGCATTCAAGGTGATTAGCGCCGATGAGATTTATAATCTAATAAACCTTTCGGAAGGATGCTCTCCCTTCTGCCCCCACCGTGGAAGACTGGCAGCGGTGGCATTTAATCCGCGCAAAAGGTCACACTGGCAGGTGTGTATTGGAGGAGGATTTTTCATAACCGTTGCCCTGTGTTAACTTCTTCGGTGCCTACCACATCTGAGGGTTTCTCCTTCCGTGCAGAATGAAAAGGCTGCCAAGTTGGGCTTTGGGAGTTAAGCATCTCTTAGAACAAATTTAAATTTGTTCTAAGAGATGCTTAGAACAAATTTAAATTTAAATCAGTTATGAGATTTTTAGAAAAGCCCATTCTTTGCATTCACGGTCCATTTGGCTATGATCTATTCTTTCCATACGTCTTCTCCAGGTTTCCAGAAGCCCAGATTCACTTAAGAACCACATGACCACTTAGCAACTGCGATGATTCACTTAACAGCTGTGGCAAGAAAAGTCATAAAATGGGGCAAAAGTCACTTAATAACAACGGTCTCACTTAGCAACATAAATCTGGGGCTCAATTGAGGGGGTCCACCTATTCTCCAAAGCACCTGAAGGCAGGACAAGAAGCAACGGGTGGAAACTAACCAAAGAGAGAAGCAACCTGGAACTGAGGAGAAATTTCCTGACAGTTGAGGACAATTAACCAGTGGAACAACCTGCCTCCAGAAGCGGTGAATGCGCCAACACTGGAAGTTTTTAAGAAGAGACTGGACAACCATTTATCTGAAATGGTATAGGGCAGAGGTCTTCAAACTTGGCCCTTTTATGACTTGTGGACTTCAATTCCCAGAATTCCTCAGCCAGCATGCCAGGCTGAGGAATTCTGGGGGTTGAAGTCCACAAGTCTTAAAGTGGCCAAGTTTTGGAAACATTGCTTTAGGTCAGGGGTCTTCAAGCTAGGCCCTTTTAATGACTCGTGGACTTCAACTCCCAGAATTCCTGAGCTAGCATGGCTCAGCTTGGAAACCTCTACCTTTCCCCTCAGCGTGCCTGGCTGAGGGATTCTGGGGGTTGAAGTCCACAAGTCATAAAAGGGCCAAGTATGAAGACCCCTGGTATAGGGTTTTCTGCCTGAGCAGGGGGTTGGACTAGAAGACCTCTAAGATCTCTTCCAACTCAATCATTATTGTTGTTGTTGTTATAAGTTGAGGACTGCCTGTAATTCAACAGGCTCAAATTGTATTAAATTATTTTCTTAACTTGAAAGTGGAAGGAAGTGAGCATATGGACCATTCATATTTACACCAATCATAAGAGGAACCACATAAACGAAAATTAGTACTGCAATATTTCATTGTGACACAGTTCGCACACAGTTAAAAAATCTTAGTTAATGCACTGAAAGGATTTCAAACAAGTAATACAATTTGCACATCATACTACACATAAATAACAACAGCGAAGAAAACACACAGTTCACATTCAGGAATATTAATTCCCTTTGTTATATTTGGACTGCATCTGCAATTTATTATTATTTTTTAAGTAGTAAAAATATCTTCCATTAAATTTTTCTTTTATTTATTAAATTTATATGCCATCCGTCTCGCCCTGCAAAGAGATTAATAATAATTTGCTGTTGGACAGATCAGCTTTTTAGCAAAAAGACTTAAACTGATTAATTGAAAAGGTACTGTTCTTTTTGAAATCCCCGTGGTTCATTCTGACTAATTAGTTATTTGCTTGTCAAATTATAGCAACGTCATTTGTTTGAAAGCTGTCCCAAACTTACTGTTTTATGAACTGTGTCTGTGAATTTATTCCAGATGTCACCTTTTGTTTACATCCCACATCTGGTAGCTGCCTGCTATCATAACATAAGAGTTCGGATCAGTTCATAGTTTATTATAACACAAATGTTTGGCCAATAATTTTCCACATAGATCATATTTCTCCATCAATCTGGAAAGTCCTAAAGTACGACAAGCTCCGTTTATTTAACTGAGTTCCTTGCTCCAGAAATGCGATACTTTTGCTTATTCAAAGACTTGAGCATAAGCATAAATATCCCTACACGTAGGGGGTTCATAAACCATGTTTTTTAATTCTTAAACATAATCCCTCTTTAATGTATGAGCTTTCCCAAAGGTGCTTTTTCATGAGGTAACTGGACTTTGTTTTTTCTTTGAAGACATTTCGCTCCTCATTCAAGAAGCTTCTTCAGTTCTGACTGGATGGTGGGGAACGGAAGGATTTATACTCCTTGCAGAGAGCTGGTCGTTTGCATTTTTTTTTAGAGAGTCGTTGAGGCCACTTGGAGGTTTGTCTGTGTCTTCAGGGACACCTGAGTGGTGCAAATGGGTGTGGAGCCTCCTTGGGACTGCTGAAAGGATTGTGTTATAGACAGGAGATACATGGTGTCGTATCCCCCTCCCTTTTGTTGAGAGAGGGCTG